TCATTAGCAGAGCTGTAGTTAAAGTGCATTCAAACATTTCACCAAACAGTGCAGATGGGACTTTGGATGTCCAACTGAGGGATTTTTCATAACCAAACTGAAAATGGAATGAATCTGATAGTAAAAGTGGCTGAGGATGGGCCTACATTTGCCTTGCAATTCTCATCCTGGGGGAATTTCCAAGGGCTTATGGCCTGTAAACCAGGGGCGTGTTGGGGATGGCCTACAAGCCACCTGAGACTCATGCCAACCCCACTTCAGTATTAATTGAAAAAACTCAAGAAAATGGTGTGCATAGTGGGGCACCAAAGAGATTAAAATAAGCTTGCTGGCAAGCTTATTTTGACCCTTTTGTTGCTCCAGCGTGACTATGATTTTGTGTGTGAGTGAAAGAGAGAGAGACAGTGAATGAGTGAGAGAGATCACAAGCTTTGTCTGCTGTCCCCTTCCATCAGGAAAGGGAAAGGGAACCATCTGCAAATTATATCTTCTCTGTCCACTCCTCTTGCTGGATCAGTAACATTTTTTGTCCACATTTTTGAGCAAATGAATTTTGGACACATTCTTCTATCAAGGTCTCCAAGTCTGAATGTCTCTATGCTGTCTCCAAACCAGGGAGAGTATCCCTGTGTACACCGGTTGCTGAGGAATTTGGGTGGGAGAGTGCTTTTACACTCATGTCCTGTTTGTGCTTAGCCACTGTATGAGCAGGATGTTGGACCGGGCTAATTCATAAGGACTCTTCTTATGTTCTTACATTCACTATTGATGATAGATATTCACTGTGATGCATGGTAGAAGATCAAATGACCATGTTAGCTGTTCTTTGTAAGAAATTGTAATAGGCCATGATTTGCAGCTTCACTGGCATGACAAACATGAAAAGCCAGTGAACCACAACATGGTAAAATGATCCATCACATGACAAATGTTATTGGAATCCACGCTGGAAAGTCATGAAATACAATCCCAGTATAGTACATCATAACCAGTAACTTCCATGAAGAAAAAACTAAAGCAATGTTTCTTGATGAGAACATAACCTGAGGAAAGTAAAGCAAACCAAGGTAATCTTGGTTATATGATATGTAGGTTTTCTTTAGCGTGATTTCATCTGGCATATTTTCCTCCTTGGCTTTGATTGTAGAAACCCATTTCCTCCTCAACATGGGATTCATAATGAAAATGGGCTCTGAACCTCAAAAATATTTGCAGATTATAGTAAAATATATTTAAATAGGAATGCCTGGAATTAATAAATGCGAATATATTAATTTCCTAAAAGCGGAAATATTTGGGAAGGTTTGGATTTGGAACTATTCGACCTGGAAAATTTTGATCAGAAACACACAATTACCCTAGGTCAGTGATGGCGAACCTTTTAGAGACTGAGTGCCCAAAACTGCAACCCAAAACCCACTTACTTATAAAAAAGTGCCAACACTACAATCAAACCTGAAAACTGAGGTTTTCATTTAGAAAAAACATCTCATAGCCAGTCCAAGAAAAAATATATATACACTTGGCAGCACACTGACCGGCCATGCGAAAGCTAGGACAAGTCATGGCTAATGAGCCGTGGCTTGTGACATCATCACTTGGCGGCGCTGCTCCTTTCCGAGCATGCGCATGGCCCCTATATGCACTATCATCCGATGCTCAGCTGCTGGGGTGATGCTGGGGTGACTTGGCTTGTGTGCCAACAGAGAAGTCTCTGCATGCCCACTGTGGCACCTGTGGTGTAGGTTCGCCACCACTGGCCTAAACCTACCCTAGCACACTCCCCAAACCCTAATAGAGGGGTAAAATACCATTGAAAGGGGTGATTTTGAAAAAGCCTTCCTTGAGCAGATTTTCCTGCACAGCTCAGCATTTCTGCCCATTCTAAAGACATTCCAACCATCAAAATCATGCCAGGACACCTGGTATTTGCAACCCTAACCCTACCCTGGTGCACACCCCTAACCCTAATACAAGGCTAATGTTCAACTGAAAATCATGCAGTTTTGAAAAAAGCCTTCCTTGAGCAGCTTTTTCTGCACAGCTCATCAGTTCTGCCCATTCTAAACACATTCCAAACAACAAAATCATGCCAGGACACCTCGTTTTTGCAACACTAACCATATGCTGGTGCACCCCTCTAAACTCTAATATAGGGGTAAAGTTCCATGGAAAAAAGCATGATTTTAAAAAAGCCTTCCTCGAGCAGCTTTTTCTGCACTGCTTATCATTTCTGCCCATTCTAAACACAATCCAACCATCAAAATCACGCCAGGACACCTCATTTTTCTAACCCTAACCCAGTGATGGTGAACCATTTAGAGACCAAATGCCCAAACTGCAACCCAAAACCCACTTATTTATCGCAAAGTGCCAACACTTCAATAGAACCTGAAAACTGAGGTTTTTGTGTAGAAAAAGCCACTCACAGCCTGTTCAAGTAAATATATATACATATCCTTGGCACCACTTGTGATGTCATTGCCTGGTGCTGCTCCTCCTTTCTCAGCATGCACATGGCCCCTATGTGCACTGTTATCCGATGCTTGGCTGCTTGGTCGATCCTGGGGCGACTTGGCTCATGTGCTGACAGAGAGGGCTCTACCTGTCCGCTGTGACACATGTGCCATAGGTTCGCCACCACTGCCCTAGGTTTCCCCTGATGCATCAGGGCCCATATTACACAATAGCATAAAAAACAAGACAAATATTTATAGAATGAAATAAAAGCTTTCAAAAACTTGTGTGCTACCAGAGAAATCTGTTATGAGAAATTTGCTCCCCTGACTTATTTTATTCCTTTAAAAACCTAGTCTCTAGTCTCCAGACAGGAGTACAGTTCCAGACAAGTCATTTTGGAAAGCCATTTGGTTTTGCTACAACACTAGGCAGATATTCTCTGTAACTTTTCCTCTGGTCCTTGCTGTTTACCACCTGAATACTTCCTTGAAATTCAAAGCTTGGAGAGAATTCTTGAATAATGTGTGGTGTTGCTAGAGATCACCCAGATTAGTAAACAACCTTAGGCAGCCTGGGAGGCTAAACAATTAACATCCAGGCATTGCTAACCTGGAAATGTGTAATGTCTGATAAGCTTGTGGCAGTCATATGATGCAGCTATAAATGTAGGGAGCTTTGGTTCATTTCCGTTCCGCATCTCATTCAGCACACACCTCATATGCTACATGTGTCAGCTTTTAAACTCCATCCTTACTTTTTGGGTTGCTTATTAAATGGGAAAGTTACTTTGCAGTCTCCTAATCTCAGGTGGAAGACTTCCCCCTCCTTCACCATAAGGCTACTGTTGGCAATCTCCTTTGATTAACTCAGTATTGGCTTACACGCCAATATACTACCTTTGGAACTGTAGTAATCCTTATTTCAACCACACATGTAAACTACCTCCCAGGCTTTTTATAGGCTTTCAGTATTTTGCCAGCAATGTATCAGTTCCATATTTTCATCACTAAATATACTTTTTATTAGAGGTCTGTATACTTTGGACTCCCTAATTTCTTCTACCTTGCCTCTGTCAGCATTTTGTTCTTTGTTTCATTAATTCTTTTTTTTCCTTCAATAGCCACAAAATAATTACAAAAGCTTTTCTTTCCCCACCTCCAGAATATTTATAAGCTTTAAAAAAAGTTTATTGTAAATTTCCTACAAGAAAGTGACTCATTCTAATAACCTGAACAGAATTTTGCCGAGACATGACAAAGAATAGGAATGCTCTTAAAGCATTAAGGGGTTGTTTAAATTAATATTGGCCTGGATCCAGGAAACTCCAGAAAGTTTTAATTTTAAAAAATTAAAAGGTCCTGCATGGAGCATGGCAACCCCCTTTTGAAACTGAGGAGGTTTTGACAAGAAGTGTGTAATAATAGCATGGAGGTCTGCTGCTTAAACGTAAAATGTCCAGAAGGCTTACTGGGTGTGCCCAAGCATTTAAGCATGTCAAAAGTATCGCTGTACACCCTCTCAGTGGTTTGAACATAGTCACTTTTAAATTATCCCTAGACATTGCTAGAGCAATGTCGAACTTGTTGCGATGGTTCTGGAATATTGAGATGTAGCCTCAAAAGGCTGAAATTACAAGCAGAAAGGGAGAAGGTCTATCTCTTTTCTTCCTAATTCCTGGAAAGTATTTGGGTGATTTCCCTAACAGCCAAATAAATGTTGTTCCCCCTCCCCCCACCTCCATGTGCATGGTTAAAAGTCCTTCCTCTGCCTGTTTGGGAGGCAGGGTGGAGGGTGGAGTGGAGTTTGTTTTCCTAATCTTCTATGTCAGAGCTGGGTAACCTCAAGCCCAGGTCCAAACCTGGTACTTCTGGGGCCCTAATCTGGCCATCTGGGATTGCCTAGAATGCAACACCTCCTTTCCTCCAGGTGGGAATAGCTTGGTAGTTTCTTGAGATTTTTAATACTTTTTCTTCCTTCTAAAAGACTGAAACGGCTCATGTAAGAACTTTAAGCTGAAATATTATGGTGTTTTTGCCATAATATTTGGCACCTTTTGTTTTTGACCCAATCTAAATTAAATGTTGGGGATCAGTCAACATTTTCATAATATGAAGAATTAGAGGGATTATTTACACTGAATAAGGAAATGTGTTTGTAAAGCAGGAAACAACATGGCAAATACCGCTTGTTATTTCATTGTTTTTTCAAGATGCATCCCATTCACAGAATGCATTGGTGATAAAGAACCACATGTAAGACCTCCCCAAATACATAATTCTGTACAATAAGTTTGTGGACCTGATAATATAGGGCCAGCACTGCACTGCTGTTTGCCAGCACCTTCCTTGCTAGCTTCTCCCTTTTGAAGCATCAAAGCTTCTGTTATTCCAAACACCACCATTATTTTCATGGAACATTGCACTACTCAGAAAAGGGGTATTGTTTATTCTGTCTCTTTCATGGCGAGTGGGAAAATGTAGAAGAGCAATCTTTTCCCCCTTGCAAACATTTAAAAACACCCCACATGTGCTCACACTGGCATTGCGTCTTAGTCTTTTGACTAAGATCAAGTGATCTGTTCTTACCAGTTTAATTATCTGCTCTGTCCTTGACAGCCAGTGTGGTATAGTAGGTAGAGTGTTGTACTAGAGCTCTGGAGAACTGGGATTTAGTTCCCACCAGGACATGAAGTTCACTGGGTGATTTTAGACCAGCCACTGACTTTCAACCTAACCTACCTCATTTTGCAGAGATAAAATGAAGAACAGAAGGTGTATGTGAACCGCCTTGGATTTCTTGCAAGTTGGAAAAAGCAGTATATGAGTCCAACAATGGCAATAATTATAAAATGAGTCTTTTTACACAAGGGGCAACACCTCCTAGAATGGCCAAGGAACCATGTGACCCTTCAGACAGTGCTGCTAGCCTGAAACCCAGAATTAGGGTTTCAGATGAGGTTTTGTAAGGGTTAAAGAGCAATACTTTTCTACATATCCAAGTTTGTCCTTCATGTACAAGCTTTGCGAGTCTTTTCCCCACTTCTACAACTCTCATACCTGGTGACAAATATGGGGTGTGCACAGGATGGACGTAGACCAGGAAAAAGATGCAAAAGTGAAATGTCCAAGTTGGTGAAGTAAGTAGGTACCTACTAAGAACATGTAGCATTTGAACTTTAGCAATATCTACAAATTTATTGTTATATAATTCGGGGGTTGTTATAGATATGAAGTCAGAGATTTGGCACATTCTGTAAAACTTGAAAGCACATTATGGTAGCATAACCAGTTAATAGTCTGTTCCCAAATTGGGCTTTGCTGGAGTATTTACCAAGAACTTGAGAAGAAAAAGTCAATTTGCTCACAGCCTTCTTTCCAACAGAAGACCACTTCACAAACAATGCAAAGGTCATGGCCTAAATAGCACAACATACAGGTAGCACATGTGATTCAATTTCAAGCTGACTCAGAACTGAGAATTTCTGGCCTTAAGAGTAAGAATCACATGCTCATGAAACAATGTGAGTATTCACTTGGCCCTTCCACAGGGAAGAGGTGAGCAGGTCTGCAAGGTGTCTTTGTTTTGATGTGCCTTCCCTCTAAACAAATCTCCTGCTTCTTCATGACAGGAAGTGGAAATCAGCCTCTGTCAGCTTGGCCCACAAATTATAATCAAGATAATCTGCAAATGGTTGAATAAAGGGCAGTTATATTATAACCAGATAGAATAAATTACAGTTACAATATCTCTCTTACTATTTTATTGCACCATCACTGTAAAAAAAGCATGAGACTCCAAACTTTTGTTCTATCAGGTATCTGTCTATCTATATGACTGCACAAGCAGTACAGAATTTCTACACAGTGAGGTTTTTTTTCTGAGAGTAGAGATAGTGCAGTAAATGTCCATTTCTACTCTTGTATGGAGTAGCCTGTGCTTCTGAAAATAATTTGAAAGATACATTGTGCAAGTGAAAGTCCCACAGAATATGCAAGTGCCACTAGTGTGCTATTGCTAAAAAATGCTGGACTGAAGAGCTGGGAAAAACAGTAACGGAGGTGGTTTACCTGATCTAGGTGCTGTTTCAGCCAAAAGATTGGATATGAGCTATGCAAGTAGAGTTTCTCCATTATTGCCAATTGACATGTACAGGAGTGCCCTCTGCCATTGGGAGTAGAGATTTCATTCTGTGTGTCGTTCCTGACAGGTAGAAGCAGTGTTTTTTTTGTCACAGAATGCACTGGAATGGAGTTCCAGCACCTTTTTTCAACAGATTTTCCAAGTTTTAAAAGTAACTGTTGAAAATTTGATGTTTGGTCCACGTGGATTTGAATCGCCCTGTTGAGCGTAGCAGGTCGGCAGCAAAATCATTAAAACGGTGCATGCGGGCTGCTTGTGTGTCGAATCCAATGCATGCGTACTTCGCACTGGTTGTGATGGCACTGCTCGGATTGTGATTGGTCGTGTGGTCGCGCACTGAGTGCTACTGTGGGCAGCAACTGTTATGTTTCATTACACAACTGACGTGTGTGGGTGTGTGTACAATGATTGACTACATGCGAAAGGTAAGTAATTTCATGAGTTCTGGCACCTTTTTTCTTACAAAAAAAGCACTGGGTAGAAGTGAGGAAAATTATTGGGCAGCAGTGGAAGAGGAGGCCCAGTCCCTTGACAATTGGCCAATAGAACAATGGTATGTGAAAAGTTCAGGCATGGAACCTAGGCCTTTTTTGCCTGCTGTAAACTTCATGCCCCTCTTAGCCATTATTATCCTTTCAGGCATTTCTAGGAAGAAAGGACGAATGCAAGGTAAGATCACCAAAACAGAAAGGGGACCTCAGAGCCCACATTGACATAGACACAGACGTGCTGACAGAGGAATAGTCAGATCTGAGCATCTTCATGGCCCCAGAAGCCCCGAGCCAGAGATGCCAGAGGCCCCTCCTTCGTAGGATGCCAGTAGATTGATTTGGTAGCCAGGAGACATGGTTCAAAGGCCTTGCATTCCATGGAGACAACAGAACCAGGGTGCCCATTATGGGCTCATAGAGAGACCATGCAGAGCTAACCTGAGCCCAGAGGCCTGTCTCTTTAAACATATGGACAGAGAAGGCAGCTCACTAAGAACTCTCTCTGTTGCCGCAACATCCAGTTTGTGGTGTTCCCTTGTTTCCTCTTTTCCCAAGTTGAGACCTAGGCAGGAAAATGTTGGTTTGAATGCCCTAAACGATCTGAGCCTGCTTCTTCAGAGCTTCCTCAGAAGCCATGCTTTGGGCCCCCTCATTATCTGATAGGTAGATGTCAGAGTCAGAGCCTTTTTTTACTACAACATTAAGGCCTATCATAGAATCACAGAACAGTAGAGTCAGAAGGGGCGAGAGAGTCCAACACCCAGCTTAGTGCAGGATTCCAGGTTAACGCATCCAGCTGGATCTTGGATATGCAGGAGAGCCCACAACCTCCAGAAGTAATTGGTTCCATTGTCACAATGCTCTAACACAGGGGTCTCAAACTCGTGGCCCGCGGGCCAATTGCCAGGATGGGCGGGGCACAGGGGAGGGGCTCTGCAGCCTTCAAAGCACCGGCGGCGCCCAGGCCGGCCACGGGATGAGAGGCCCACCACCACCGCAGTGGTGGAATACTTGATGCGGCCCAGCCTCACCCAGACTCTACTTCCAGCGGCCCCCAGGTAAGTTGAGTTTGAGACCCCTGCTGTAACAGATCTTTTCGTCTGATGTTCTGCCAGAATCTGGCTTCCTACCCATTAATCTGAGTCCTGCACTCTGGATTGATAGAGAAGAAATAGTCTTAAGACTTCCGGTATGGCGTCGGAGCAATACAGATGTGATTAATGAACCTCCGTTATCACGCTGGTAACTGCCCAGTGGTGGGCCGTGGGAGCTCAAGCTAAGCCCTGTCGGGGCTAAGATAGATTGCTTGGCAAATCTCCTAGATGATGTGGAATGGCAATTCCACATTCACTGGGAGGAAATCAAGCTTTTCTCAGCCAGGTAGCACAGGAGGGAGGAAGCCCTCTACAAGCTCTCGACATATCGTTTTTTTTTTTAGTTCAGTTTTAGCTATTATAAGCACATTGGATTTATTGGGAATTATTTTTGTTTCTTATTTTTGTAATGATACCCGTGGAATAAGCTGCATTCCTTGCTATTTGATACAAAAGAAAAAGAAAAAGCCCTTCGGATGGAAGAGGAAAGGAATCTCCCCCCGCCCACCCACGGAATTGAAAAGCGATGAATTACATAAGAAAAGAGAGACAGCGCTCTTTGTAAGTAAGGAAAAGATTTATCTTCCTTAATCTCGCCAAGGGCAAAAAATCAAAATAAATAATTTACTGTGGAATTGAATGATAGAAGGATTCTTCTTGTATTCGTCTATGTTAGACTACTGCCAAGAGCTAACGGCCATCTTTCTCTTTGTTCCTGGGACCTCTGGACACCTGCCAAACCTTGGTAATTACTGCTACTATGGAAGAAATACAGAAGACACTCTTGGCAATACAGACTTCTTTAACAGCTGCGCAACTATCTCAGCAGGTGATAATAATAAAACAGAAGATCATTTTAGAATGACTTGATAGTTTTTTTATTGAACAAAAAAGTGGCTTTGATAAATTAGACACTTCTGTTAATCAGGCTCTGGGCAAGCGATTTGTACCTGAACAGAATATGCAAAATATCCAGCAAGCAGAAGGAAAATCTGAAACTGGAAAGACAACAAGCGTAATGGGAAAATTAACACAACTAGTGAACTCAATAAATAAGCCTTCATGGGATCTGCGTGTTATGCTGGAGAAGGCGAAGATAGCAACTTACAACTCAAGACACATTATTTATTGCAG